CGCCCATGATTCGTAGTAACGAGGAGTGAGTCTTGATCAGATCTAGGAGTTTGTTAGTCAGCTCAACGTTTTCGAGCGGCGTCGTGCGAAGGCTACGGTACACCCGTACAAGGGTTACTACTGCCGGAGAACCTATCGTACACGCCACCAGTTGGACATTTACGGATTCGTAGATGGGCAGGATTGGTACCTGTTGAATGTGGTCTTTGACCAGCAAAATTACTCCACCTCCCTGAATCGCCTTAGGTCTATCTGATCTGTAAGTGGTAAAGCTCCTTCTTACTCGATCCGATTCAGTACCTTTTCAATACTTATATTTTAACAACCCAATTGTGCTCCACATACTCTTCTTGGATTAAACTTTCTGTTTGGTTTTCCCCGCTTCTGTACCTATATTTTTCGTTAACCCATGGTGATCCCGATGATCACTGCCACAACCAGGAAGTTATGTGTGGTTCGTATGCCTCCTCTTGGATGGTTTGGGATCAGTTTTTGGCCAACTCCCCTTGTTGAACTACCAGTGGTCCATCAACGCGGTTACAGCCACGGATATCGGCTTTTCGTCTTCTCACTTTGGTGGAAAACACCTCCGTCACGAGAGGGCAGTAAGTAGGGCTTCCTTAGCAGAGGCTATTTGAGACGCTTGGTCGTATGGGAGCATTTCGTGAGGTGTAAGGGAAGAGTGACCAACCGCAACCCTTGACACCCATCCCCGACCATACCGAGTCTTTCAGAGGCCGCGAAGAACAAGCAGGATTTCGACCAGATCGCAGTCACATCGACTATATCTTCACGCTTAATAAAGTCCTCGAACTCCGCCGTACGCACTATCGATCAACAGTGTTCCTAGTCCGTGACTTAAAAGGAGCCTTTGACTCAGCTGGTCGTGAATCCATTCGTAAAGGAATGCCGTAGAAGAATGTCAACATACTGAGGTCACTCTACTCACATACTTCTGGTAGCTTAAGGGTCTCCGGCGAGCTCAGTAGGCCGTTCGATACTAACAGCAGTGTTCCTCGAGGGTGCTCCATCCCTGATCAATTCCGCCATAGGCAAAACACTTTGGGACGCACTTAATGGTCTCAAAAATGTTGGTGTTGAATGAAGGAAAACTGTGCGACCTAGAGTACACTGACAACCTCGTTTGCCTTTGGAATGTATGGAAGATGCACAAAGCGCACTCGAGTGATTAGCATACTCTTTGCACCTTCAAATTTCAAAGCAATGCTGAAAAACTGGGTGTTGCCGAGTCGTGTTCTGAACCTAGACGGTTGGGAATTAGCTGAAGTTGACTGCTTCTCGTACTTGAGTAGCTGCATGGCCAACGACGGTAGCACATCAAAGGAGATAGGTGTCCGCATTTCCAAGGCTTGAGCAGCGTACGCAGGACTGAAGCACCTGTGGCGACGACGTGATGTTTCCTTGAAGTTGAAAGTCGCGTATACTGTGCCACTGTACGATCAGTTCTGCTTTACGGCTGTGAGACTTGGAATTTGTGGGTAGTAGACATCCGTTACCTAGTGGTTTTCGAAAATCGATGCTTACGTAGTCTGGCCCAAGTGGGGTGGGGTGAGCGAGTTAGTAACCTAGAAGTAAGTCGTCGGGTGTTTGGGAATGCATCGAACAAAACTCAATATCGCATCGAATTCAGCTCAATAGACTCCGTTGGTTAGGACATGTTTCGCGTATGTCCTACAGTTGCGCCTTATTCGCAGCGGCTGTTGCAGACTGGAGTAAGCCACATGGAAACCAGGAGATGAGGTAGAGACGAGGCATGGAGCGATTGGATAAAGTAGGTGTCTATCGTCTTCCTGGTTGGGGTCCAAAAGCCGATTGTCTTTATGCATTTCCAGCTGTCGTCTTCTTAGCATATTCCATCCTTGGTAGATCACTTATTTTTGCGCCAGTTTAGGCCGCTTTATGGCGGGGAGCAGGTCATAGGGATAGCGAAGGCATGCGAACAAAAAATGCCTTTCATCCGGATGTTAGTCCCTCTCAAAAACTGGGTAAGGAATTGCACAATTTTAGATCTCCTAATCGCGACCTCACGTCTGACAATGAGTCAAAGAGCACTTGTAATTTTGCTCTGACTTGTTCCATCTACTAGAGCTGTTCGGTCGTAGACGCATGTTTTTCGCTTCAGGTTGGATCCACACTCATTCAAACCACTCGTGTTGGTCACAGTTACAAACCGATGATCAAACATCTGGTATGGTTCTCTGTCTATCTTTTTCTCGCAGATTTGGCTGTCGCCGCCGGTCCCAATATTTACGTTTACCGAAAGTTGAAACCATATTTCAAATTCAAATTACCAGTCTCGGAACCGAACGAAGAGGAGCGGTCCGTTTGGGACAAAGCCAAGACGGTGCGTATCTTTCACACAGTGGATGCTATGCTTACCTCAGTAGGAACACGTTGAACTGTTTAATGTATGCATTTGATTTGCCATTTTTTTCTTGTTGAGTTCGTTCTGTATTACTTCATGTCCGTGCACCCTTAGTCTTCGTGAATTCTCTATTCCCACCTTGACGCTACCATCAACATTCCAATCTCACCCTTACTTCTTCACGGGAATGGGTAGTCGAATCCGCGCTCGAAAGTGCATAATTATGGGTTGCCAAAACGGAAACAATATGTACTACATAAAGTGCACTTCATCCGCTTCGTTTTGCTGTTATGATTTGTAAAGGACTTGATTTCTTTATTGCATACATTTTGTGTGATGAAGAGCAAACGAGATGGATCCCATAGTCGGGGAAATGCGTACCGTATTTCCCGAGACTTGGAGTGGTAAACCGCATAAGGACCCATCAGGTCAGGGGTGGTATCGAACCGACCGACAGCGAAGCTGCCTACCAAAAATATGGGTGGCGGGCCTCGAATCTCGTACCATAGGGTCCAGAACAGGCTGGGGACAGCGACTTAACCACTTGTTCAAAATGCCCATGAGGTTTTGGATAACCTATACTTTTCCGCATAAAAGTTTGGCTCGCTTTCCGTCAGTTCGTACATTCAACCGTTTCTGTGCGCCGTTTCCGGGTGAAGTCCTTGATCTACCTGTTTGATCGATCAGTGAAAAAAAGAAGTAAACAGCTGTAACTAGTCCCGTAACCTTGTACCATCGTGCAGCAGTTCGTTATCTTTTAACCGTCTAACGTTGTCGGATTATCAAAGTAATATGCGTCAGTTAAATGAGCAATTTCAATGTCTCTACGGTCATAGACTGAGTAATTTTCCCTCGTCTCTTTAGCTCATTGTTTGTGATTTACCTCATGCAATCCACAGATTATTCGTTCCGATATGAGAGCTTGTGAGCCTGGTCGTAATGCTTAACAATCCATCCGCTTCCATCCCCCCTCCTCAGGGTGAAGTTTCAATCCATGAACTGTGGACCAAGTTGGATCAGTTAAAGTATGTTGGATCACTGATCTCCCGCTACTGTCTAGTACGTACATCGTTGTGTGCAACATCCAGGTCAAATGAATAGCTGTATCTGACTGTTTTCTCCTTTTACTCCGTTCACTCCCCCTCCCCCTTGGCCCCAGGAATCGGGCTGTGCGACTGACTGCACGATCTGCTCGCTTTCTTCAATTACCACTGACAGATTTGTCAGACTACTACGATCAGTATCGTGTGCTGACACTGGAAAGTCAGGTCAGTTTTGCGCCCATTGTTCCCATTGGTTTCGTGGATCCACTCAAAATAAAAGTAAAATTTTTATTATGGAAATTAATTACATGCTCCTCTTGTCCCCACAGGATATTTAACCAGTTGAATTGTTTCTCGACGAAAAAAATGGTAAAGTGCCACATAAAGTTCCGGGTAGGAGATAACAGTTAATGTTTTCTTCAACGAATTTGCATTTGTTTTTAGTTGTATAGGAATGTGAGATGTACCAGGGTTTCACGAGGTCTCCGCTTGAAAGATTCACTAGTTTGTGCACGAATGACATGAAATGGAAGAATGTTCCAAGTACTGCACACTCGGATTGTAAAAAATTGGCACCGGCATTCCAGTCGACACTTTGGAATCAGTAACTGGAAACGATGTCCCCTAAGGTGTATGTTGGGCGACAACGTGAGCAGCGGGCGATATGGATGGTTTGGGTTCTGTAGTATTTGATACGCCAAAATCAAGTCTCCCCGATCACGTTACTCTGTGTACAGCCGAATGTACACTGATTGCAAACGTAGGAACGGTGCTGATTCAAACCGACCAGAGACTCGCCTAAGCAAGCCGACATTCGGCACAACAGCGGACGAAGCCCTGGCGCAATTGATCGAGTAACTCGTGCACGTACACGGAAATTCATCGTACCGTAGTTGGCACAGCGGATACAAACCACGATTTGATTTTAGTCATGGGTATCGCATGCTGCGAAATCACAATAGCTCCGTACACGTTGGAAATGCGCTTCACCGCAGTATTTGCCCCTCTTCATTGTTTGTCGCATGTGAATTGATTGACAGTGGTCTGCGCAATGGATATTTGCATGGCTTTTATCAAACTGTGTGAAGGAATATGGAAAAATTGCATAACTAGCTGTCCAAACCTTTCTGTCTGCTGTCACCTTCGTTGTACACACACACACACACACTTTAGTATAGACCAAATTGGATGCATTCAGTGGAAGTGCTCTTTGGCTCTCCTATTCTGGTCAGGCAGTTGTTAAGCATATTGTTTTCCCCCTTTAGTCAGTTTCGTGCATTTTTAAAGCACATCGTCTGATAGACGCAGTCTTGATGACGGAGCACTTTGTAATTAGTGTCTATCAATGTACGTTGTGTGTTGGTTGAACGAGAATGTAATAATGTTTGAGTTACAGAAATATTTTCCGTGCCTGTATGTATATATTCCACACACGCACGTGTCTGTATCTAGATTGAGTTAGCCAGATTGTTTTTCGGTGGTTCGCCCGGATGGGCAATCCGTTAGCACATCTGAATCGCTTTACTTGTTAGCCAGGGTTTACTAAAGTATCAGTTCGGGAAATCGACCATCAGGATGAACAGGCCGTCGAATCTTTAGATTTATCCCATGACTGGGATTTTTTCGCACAGTGTTCTGTCTGTAACAGTCTGTTACGGTCATTTCTCCACTAGTGATTGAAAAGATGACGAAACATCTTGTGCTTCTTACTTTGTTTCCGCGGTTCTGTGCTTTAACGAGCTTCCCAACTAACAGTCCGTTTCCCACATTTATTGATTGTCTTTGAACGTTTTCCCATCTTCTTCGATCATAAGTAAATCATATAGACGACTCTTTTGCCTCCCCATTCCCCAGACGGTAGCCACGTGTATGCAAACACTGTATCGACAACAGGCCAGTCCAGATTCTGTCCAATGCTTGGTTGTTGGGGCCGAGCAAAACTGTCTATTTATAATCGACCCAACCACGTTCATACTGCTTACCACGGTATGTTTTTGATCTTGTTTTCAACGCACGTGGACTCGTTCTTTTTCGATTTGTTCGTCACGTTCCCTTGCCACACCCTTCGCTTCTCCAGTTCTCCATGTTCTGCGATCATCCGTTTCCCCTGAATGTAAACAAACGTGAAGTTTTTGCATTCCCCGGGTGATTTTCCCCTTTCCGTCGTGATAGCCTTGATTTCTGCAGGCACTTTTATGTCGCTGGTGAGAAAATACTAGATTTGTATGAAACGACCTATATCTTCTAGACTAACTGAATTCCTGTAGAGCAAACTTTAGCATAGTTTTTCCGCCAAGTGGGCCGCGGTTTTTTCGACAAATGTCCACGAGCAACTTCAAGCCGTAATAAATCACAAAGCGCTAGGCTCCCATAGAACTGTGTTGAAGGAAAGTGAAATGAAGCTCTTAGGAGGGTTTCTTTTCATTTCACTTCCTATTATTGAATGAATACGATAATACAGTTTTCAGTAAGGGAAAAACGGTTATTCAAGAGGCTATCTGTTGTACAGCAGAATGGGGAAAAGTCAGTCCGTGATGGTGGGACTGGAACACACGTTCTTGGGGGTCATAAGTCGGTGACGTTTACCACTCGGTCACCACCGCCAGGTCCCGTTTGAGAAGCCAAAGAGGTTACTTGCTCGTGAAGGAGAAGCGATCATTTCGATATTTAAGGATAGTCTGCGTGTGAAGGTCTGTTCGTTAGGTCTAGTGGATTCACTAACCTAATGTGTTTCAATGTGGTTACATTTCGACCAAGGGTCCAGTTCTGTCGTATGTGAACGTTATCCCCCAGTGTTTTCTGCCACATGTTTACATCCTATGCTTCGTCTGTGGCTCGCAGTGGACCACTGAACGCCTATAAACCACTAATCGCATGCGTTTTACTTTTGCAGATCACCACGCCGACCGTACCTGTGCACCTGATAACCACCGGTTCGTATGACATACAGTTTCGCATCCTAGTTGCGTGTCGAGATGGAATAGTGTATCACGTGAAACGGTAAGTCCGAAGTGATGCTGTTAAAATGCGATTTGTGCGGCCACAGCGGGACTTCCTTTTCCCGTTGTGTCCTTATCTCATTCTCTGTGGATAGTTTCGATAGCGATATCAGCGAGATCATCATGCCGTTTTGTTTAGTCGTAATTTACTCCGTTTTACTTTTACCATATTTATCATAACGCGCACCTCTCATGATGAACACCCATCGCTTGAATTCATTTTTCTTTCCCGAAACGGGTGGGCTGATCGCTCTGATGAGTTCAAGGATAAGTCATAACATGACTTGACACATATAGAGAAATGCCGTGTCGCAGAAGTTCGAGTAATGTCTGCACAACGTTGCACGCCTCGGATGAAACAACCGGGTAAGCAGTACTACTGGTCTCGCAATTGCTTCGCGGAGGCATCCGCTATACGCATCACCGAGCTGGTGTAATTTATGCCTAAGTAGCTTACAAGCATAATAAGGCCGATTTCGACTAGACCATAATTCAGCATGAAACAGTGGAATCCTTGACCGTTTTATCAAATCTTTCTGGCTATCTTTTTTTGGAGATCTGAAAATGAACGTGCTCAGTCGTATACAGCGGTGTTCTTGTATTTACATGGGAGTATTGGAGGATTTGAGTCTATTGTATAGTGAATTTTGTCGAATATAGAACGAATGAAGCGTGAACTGAAGAGCTAGTACGCACTGTACAGCTGTTTCGACGTGATCCGGCTTCATCGTTGGGTGCCAATCCATTTCCCATATATATATATATATACGTACATTGGCGAGGCAACTATCCCAACGGATGAAGGAGCACTGCCCACGGTGGTTAAAACAAGGAGGAACAGGAAGCATAGGAAGTGCCATTCTTGGTCATCTAGTAGATACAG